AAGGGCCGCTCTTGCTCGTCTAGGGCCGCTCTTGCTCGTCTAGGGCCGCTCTTGCTCGTCTCAAGTCTTTCTTGCAAACCCCATGAACAGCTCACCCAGTGTTGAACGTAAAACGTTATATCCCACAAGTCCACTCAGTCCTACTTATTTTTCAGCCAATCACTAAGACAAACAAACTGGTTTACATTTGCGGGAGATAATGCGGCACGTGCCTTGTTTACAGTGTCACCTGATACTGAAAACAGGCGTTCGTATCGTACGGATGTAGCTGGCATAGCAAGATATTTACATGCCAGACATACTAAAGGGTCATATGGCTTCATGCTTCATCCACCATTTCTGAGGACACGCATCCATGCTGATGATGGGTTCTGCTCGATAACAATCCAAAACACCTGGCGCTTACAAAAGCTGAATTCCCTCAGGCTGAGCTGCCTCCCCTGTTATCCTGCGTGTCACTCTGCTCTCAGCACCAACAGAGAGGAAACTTGTCTCAGTCAAGATTAAGGGTGTGCATGTGTTGACCATGATATGATCAATTGAGAAGCCTAGGTTGATAGGTTCATCTTCTCGACTGCTCACAATTCTCCCCCTTCCCAGCTGCCTTTGTATCAGAGGGTATATCTACACTAGCCCCCTAGTTCGAACTAGGGAGGCTAATGTAGGCATTCGAACTTGCAAACGGAGCCAGGGATTTAAATATCTCGGGTTTTATTTGCATGTTCCCATCTGGTCGCCATTTTTAAATGCCACTAGTCCGGACTAACTGCCCGTGGCTACACACAGCAGTTAAACGGTAATTCGAACCAAGTCCTTAGTTCGATTTACCAGTTACTCCTCCTGGAATGAGATGTAGTTCGAATGCCGACATTAGCCAACCTAGTTCGAACTAGGGGGCTAGTATAGACATAACCAGAGGCAGCAAGGGGCAGGAGCAGGTGCCAATGCTAGGGGGAGCAGGCTGCAGAGCAGCTGAAGCAGCCTCTGTCCACTGCGGGCCCAAGCTCCCGCTGTATAGTTGTCCAGGAATGGGTGGCTATACCGTATAATGGGCACTAGGGGGCAGCAGAGGGTGGGCGGGGAAGGGGCGGCTATACTGTATAATGGGCACTAGGGGGCAGCAGAGGGTGAGTGTGGGGGAGGGGCGGCTATACTGTATAATGGGAATGAAAATTTGCCCAAATTGTCCCATTTGTACTCCCCATCCTCTGCCCTTGTGACCAAGTGCCCGGTGACAGCTGTGGATTTCCTGCAGACCGATCCCTGTTCTCATTCCCATGTATCAGCTGGTGAGCGGAGGTGGAAAAGGAAGTCAGCTTCCCTCTGTCCCAGAGTAGGGTTTTTAGAGCGACAACAGTTGTCCCAGGCATGGGCTGTCTCCACAGCGCAAGAACGTGTCTAAACGGGGCAGGAAACGATCATCTCTGTTTTCGGTTCCACCCCCCTTTGCTGAGTGTTTGGTTTTGCTGGTTTCCAGTAACCCCTCTCCGCTTGCTGGGCGCTGGGGTGGAATTGGAATCAGTCTGCTTTGTGAGAAGGGTCGCAAGGCGCCCACCACTGTCTGTGCGGAGGAGACCCCTGGGCCAAGTTTGCCAAAAACAATATTTTAGTTATTCTAAAAGATCATTTCCTAAGAGTCACATTTTCACCAACAACCCCTCCCCCCTAATCTTGTGGTTATTGTGGGAGAGGTTTGGATTGAAATCTTGCCCTATTTTCATAAAAACAGGAACTGAAAGGTGGAATTGAAACAACTTGGAAACCTCAGCTCCTTTTGTGTGTGTGGTCACAGCAGATAGTGTTTGACCTGCTCCCGTTTCCGTTCTGAGTGTTCATCAGAAGTACTTAAAAGCGATTCCCCGTGGAACTGAGCAGAACAGGAGTGGTCGTTTGCTTTGTTTTGCCAGTTTACAGGATCTTTTCTGAATCTTGGAGCTGAGGAGTTTCAAGAACAAGATACCAATAGACACTTGGGCTGTGTCTAGACTGGCATGATTTTCCAGAAATGCTTTTAACGGAAAAGTTTTCCGTCAAAAGCATTTTCAGAAAAGCACATCTAGATTGGCACGGATGCTTTTCCGCAAAAGCACTTTTTGTGGAAAAGCGTCCGTGGCCAATCTAGACGCACTTTTTCACAAAAAAGCCCCGATCGCCATTTTCACGATCGGGGCTTTTTTGCGGAAAACTCATCTCAGCTGTCTACACTGGCCCTTTTGAGCTAAAGTTTGGCGCAAAAGGGACTTTTGCCCGAACGGGAGCAGCATAGTATTTCCGCAAGAAGCACTGATTTCTTACAGTAGGAAGTCAGTGCTTTTGCAGAAACTCAAGCGGCCAGTGTAGACAGCTGTCAAGGTTTTCCAGAAAAGCAGCTGATTTTCCGGAAAAACTGGCCAGTCTAGACACAGCCTTGGAGTTATTGGGATTTAGACACCTAGGCCCAGACTGTCAAAGGTATTTAGGGACTGCTGTGTTCGGCGTTGCCTGACTGATTTAGAAGTACAGTTTGTCAATGAGATTTTTGACTTCCAAGTTCCTAAACATCTTCAGAAAAATATTGTAATTTAGGGTTTTTTTGCAATTCCTACTTGCGCCTCTCTCTGTGTCCTTGGGCCCAGCCACCTCCTCGCAGTTCTCACTCCTTCTGGGACTTAGGTGAGCATCCGAGCCGGTTCAGCCTGTGACTCCCACTCTTTTCACTTGGAATTAGACACTTGTCAGTGACCAGGATGGGAAAGGTAGGGGCAGGAGTCGTTCCTAGTGGTTACAGCAGGTATCCTTAGCAGAGTATTCGAGCTGGAGTCAAAAGCCAGTCAGACGGCCGGGGACTCAGCCAGCAGGGAAGCAGGTAGCTGCTGGTCCTTACTACTGACTGTGTCTTAGAACATCCCACTAGGACCTGATCGGCACCTTCAGTACCTTTGAAACCAGGCATGGCAGATGTCAGCCTCAAGCAAGTCACCGAAGGCCTAAATCAAGACATGGGGCCGTTTTTTGCAGACAACGTCCATACCGATGGCTTGGACAAGCGCGAAGTCCTCAACTTGATCGACGCTGGCGTGGCTAACAACTGCGCCTACCCGCTGGTCCTCCGCCCGGCCAGGCGCGTGGGGCTGATCCTCTCCTTCGACTTCGGCATCAAGGAACCCTTTGAGGTAACTTCCACGATTGACGTGACACCGCCCCAAGACCTGTCCCAGGATCGAGCAGGGCGTGAGGACGCGGCACGTCAGCCGTGACCCGGGGAGGCTCCACTCTTCTTACCAACAGCAACTTGGAGTCCCGGAAGGGGCTGGGTGGATTTGAGATGTGTGGACGCAGGGATATTTACCTTGCTCCTTGCTAGGTTGCGGGCTGCGAGTTAAGGGAGACTGACCCGCCATGACCTCTGTTTGCCTTTGAATGTCACAGAAGAGGAAATTCCTTAACCTTAAACCTTCCTCTGCATCCAAATGGCAACTCCACCGACATTCCCTGTGCGCATCCCCCCAATGACCTACCCGGTAGCCCTTCGGCTTGGCCATGTTTTAATTTCCAGTGGTAGCTACAGAGCCAAGGAGCAGAAAGGATCGTTCAGTTCCTACAAGCCAAACTCACCAACGCTCCAGCTGGCTCCTTTGGGCGGCTCCAGTACCAGAGCACGTTGCGGCTTTGGGCGTCTCCCACACAAACATCCCCGTGGGTGACTTCGAGAAAAATCAAAAGAGAGAAAAAAAATTCAAGTTGTGCTTTTGGATCTGTATGCCTTGATTTCCACTCATCGCCTTGGGCGGAGATTCTCAAAGCCACTGAGAGGATGTGTTTTAACGGGGACTGGGCCATTAGGAGGCTTTGAATCCCACAGCCATCATAGATGTGTGGTTATATAATGATTCTGGCTACCGGTTATGTCTAGTTTCCATGGGACGTCCGCTCTCGGTAAGATCCTTCAAGGTGGGATGTTGTGTGTCTTAGATTAATTATGTTATTCACATTTCACCCTGGCCATATTAGCAGGATCATATTGTATTTGTGAAAAGGTTAGTTAGTTGGTTAGTTAGTTAGTTACTTAGCTAGCTAGCTAGTTAGTTATAAAATCACTTTTCCTTCCTCCCCAGACCCTCCAGAAGGCGTCCAAGTATTGTGAGGAAAATCAGATCCCATTCCCCCCGATAGATCCAGAAGTGATTAAGGACCAAGACAACCCCTCCAATTGCTACGTCTTTGAAGGAAAGGGCACTCCCACCGTCATGCACTTCCCACTCTTCAACACGAAAAACTGTCCAGGTAAAGGGGTTGTACTTAGGTGGCTCATTGCTGGGTGAGCCACAGACATGACAGACCCCCAAGCCAACAAGGGCCTTGAGCCAGACTGAGCTTGGGTGCCAACCTCCTTCAGTGCTCAGTGCACACCCCTCCCTGTGCCTCCCAGGGGTGAGCCGAGCTGGCTCCCAGCTGAGTGTGAAGGCGTATCTGGGTCCCGTTCCCTGGCACCCACATCTCTTCCCTCATGGCACAGGGAGTTGGGTCACCCGATTCAGCCTGTGTTCCTCCCAGGGAGCTTGGAGGGTCTCAGCCTGAGGCCCCGCGATTCTCCATGTCCTAGCAGTGAATCTCGCCCTACGTGTCGAAACCGGAGCGCTCTGAAATGTATTGCCTACTAGAACTTTCCCCCAGTGTTGCTTGGGTCCTTCAGGGCAGAGGGTTGGGGGGTTCAGGAGTCAGAGCAGGGGGCTGGGAGCAGAGGAGGGGCTGAGGGCAGGGGATGGGGGTGCAGGAGTCAGGGCAGGGGGCTGGGAGCAGAGGAGGGGCTGAGGGGAGCGG